TTGTCACCCCATTGGTTGCCTTATTTGACATAAATTGCTGAGGAAAGCAGTGTTGTCACCCCATTGGTTGCCTCATTTGACATAAATTGCTGAGGAACCCCCGAAGCAATGTTGTCGCCCTGATGAAAATCCTTAGGCTAGGTCCCTTGTGATAGTTGTTTTAGGGACGTAAAGTGAGGATAACGGGGATGGGTAATCAAGGTTATTTTTGGTTGATGAAATTAATAAATTTATCGTTGAATGATGAAATTAATAAATTTATTATTTGTGGGTTGAAAACCCTATATGTTCACCAGGCTCCCAAGGCTGACCCACTCAGTTTCTTGTATTACAGGTAGTGGCAAGATCATAGTTGGATGACGTAACGAGAGATTTTGGATTATAGGCCAATAGATGTAAGTAAATGTTGTAAGGCTTATAATATACTGTTTATGCTTTTGATGGGTATCGGAACATGACATCCCGAGGTTTTGTTATGAAATGGAAAATATATTTATTTAAGAAATGTTTTGATAAATTTTTATTATATTTGTTTTGGGAACAAATTCCGCAACATCTTTTGAAAAATTACTCTGATTTTATTTTAAAAGCATAAACTAAATCGGTCTTTTCTGGCCGAGAAATTTGGGGATGTCACAGTTGGTATCAGAGCATTAGTTTAAGCGGACTAACAATTTGTAGTATTTCTAGACTTAAACTTAGAATGCTAAATGGTAATCGTGAGATGAGTGTCTACCATATTTTAGACACGAGCACTAGTTTATTTTAGGAAAGATGCCTAAAATGCTTTTATGTGCTAAATGTTATATGTTTGCTATATATGCCATTACTTGTTCGGATCTATGGTCTGTTGCCGACCGGATCTGGAAACCTTATGTGTTTAGGATTCTAAGCGTATGACTACGATATTAGAACTAGTATGTAACGTTTCAGAGGGATAAGGAGAATTTAAATATCTGTCGTGGATAAAGGTTTAAATTCACCTAATTTCGCATATATATCATAATGGCAAGAACCCGAAGTGGAGCTGGAAATGCAAATAGAAATCAGCAACCTCAACCCCAAGTGATTGAGCATGTGCCTGTGGTAGAAGTTGCACCAGAGCCAGTCACAATGGCTGGGGTACAAGCCATGATTCAGGCAATGATGGCTGAACAAAGGGAGGAAATGAGGCAAATATTGCTGAACAACAGGAATGAACCTTCAATGCCAATTGAACAACCTGAACTCAATGATGATCAGTCTGAGGAAGGAAATTATAGTAGATCTGTTGATCAAACTGAACCACTTGTGGTTAGGAGGAATAACCACGATGATGGAGTGCAGAGAAATGGATGCAAGTATAAAGACTTTATGACTTGCAAGCCATCAACTTTCACTGGAAAAGAAGATCCCTTCGGAGTAATGGATTGGATCTCGGAAATGGAATTGGCTTTCATGACATGTGGTTGTCAAGGCAAGTTACAAACCATATTTGCGGTGCGTCAGTTCAGAGGTGGCGATGTTCGCTGGTGGAACACTTTAGGGAAGACTCTAAGCCCTAATGAGCCACTGCAACTGACTTCGGCAGAGTTCTTGGTGCAATTCAAGCGCAAGTACTGCTCGGCCCAAAATGTGCTTGAGCTAGAAAACCAATTTCTGACAATGAAGAAGGAAAGTATGACCACTGATGAATACACCAATAACTTCACAGAAAAAA